ACTGGATTAACTAAGGTTTGTGAGTGAATTCGAAGTGTGAAAGACGGTCGGTTTGAAAGAAACATTAAATAAGTAATAACAGCTCTCGTTTCCCTGAACACACACACACACATACAAACAAAGAAGGATCTACGATTAGCAACTTCCTCCTGACAGTCTGTTTCTTTCAATGGTTACTGACATCAAGAAATCAGCGAGTAAGAGATGAAGATTGTAACAAATGCACAAGAGGGAAGTTGATGCAAACTCCTAATGATGAAAAATGGAGTGAAATGGCCCGAAACAAAATTAAAGGAAACAATGAAACAGTTTTCCGTTGATCGTACAACAAAACATGATACTTACTACTTACTTCCGTCACTTCAGATCCGCATAGAAATCTGTTTTACCTAATCAGTATTTAGTTTTAACTCGCAGTTCGGAGTTCATTCGATCAATACTGCACACAGACGAAGTAAAAATGTGTTGCGTTTAGCTTTGATTGAAGTGCAGCAGCAACATCAGCAGCACTGTGCCAACCAACCGACGCTTGTTGTATGTTCATTTGTGGGAATCAGTGTTTCGAGAGATCCGGTCTGATCGATGTGGACAAACGGTTAGCTTTAGCATGATACCAACTTGAATATGACACATCCAGACCGCATGAATGGCTGACCGGATGAATTGTGTAGTATGCGCAGAAATGAAGTCTGTTTGTTTATTAGCTTCTCAGGAATATGTGCCTGATTTATCAAAGTTGTTCCGAGAAAGAGAGAGAGGCAAATAAGAAGCGGCAGTATTCACATCTGGGGAGCGATGCTGATTGCTGATAATGATGTACACATACTGCATGGTCATTAGGCATTAAGGTAACTGTAATTCTGAAGCCGAACACGTGGTACTCAAACGCTTGATTTTGAATCTTCTAACCAGTTAATCAAACACAATGTGGGGAATGATACCGTTCATAAATGAGTTTCGGATCACCAGCATAATTTGGACAACGTTTACCCATATGTAATTCTTTCTTCCTCCATCCATTTACAGCTCGCTTAGGTAGAACAAACTAGCTCTTTCAATGACTTCTGAGAAATACTAATACTTCACTATGCGGTTGCCATGTACTACTACTACTACTACTACTGTTATCACTACTAATATTACTACCATCACTCCCACGATTACTACTACTGGTGTGAGATACTACTACTCACTTGTGAATAGTACGCAAAAAGATGCGATCAGCGGTTTCTTTCAACGACCTGATGGCGCAAACTGTTGCTATTCGGTACGGTAAACACGACAGTGTGCATCTGTTAGTGGACCGTTTTCAGGAATAAAAGCTCAGTCCGTCAAAAGAAGACTGGTGGTACTGGGTGGTGTGCTACAGGGAGAAAGTCGTGATGAATCATTGCAGTTCAGTTCTAGTTTGCTCTGCAATTTTTACCTCCCGTCACTTCTGCAAATTAAAACAAATACATCTTGCAGTATTTCTACGCTAATAATTGGATTTGAACAAACCCGATTAACTGTATTCTGACAGACAACGTAATAGACAACGCGTGAGGATTTTAATTTTACCGGTGCGTATACAAGAATTTATTTCGGGATCTCAAAAAGTTATTATTTGCCAGTTCTCGAAGTTAGAAACAGTCCCATGAGTGACATTCTCCTAGCTTTTCCCTAGCCAAATGAGTGAATGCTACTGTTCACTCAATTCTATACCGTATTCAAGCCCTGTTCAAATCACAAATCTAACAATGATATCAATCTGTGGACTGTATTTAGACATCATTCAATACGTAGAGATTATTTCGACTACTAAATCCTGTCGAAACGATTCTGTGATTGTCCGTCAATTTAAGATTGTTGCCATAGATTGATCAGTACATGATTTAATTGTCATGATTCAGATGACAGCATTTCATTGTATCGGAAGTAAGGTCATACATATTACAAATGCGGCGTTTTGAAAACCAGACCTCACTCGCGCATGTAAGTACATGTTGTACTGGAACGCACAATGTTATCCTGTACCTACCACCAGTCGATTGCGAAACTATTCCGAGCCAATGCTGTGGCTGCGATAGAAACAATAATCGCATGATAAGTTTCGTGTGCGTACAGACGAAATAATACGTGTACTCTCATGTAAGATAGTGGCCCTTGTTCAGAATGTTTCCATCCGAGTACGAACCGTGGACGCAAATACTGAAATGTTCACAAAGATGGATAGTGCTATGTCGCGCATATACAAAGTACAAACTATCTGATCAGTTCCGCGATAGACAATTGAGTAGTATACCTTTGTTCTACCTATGTTGAAGTCTCGGGTTGGAGCTTCTCAGTTGGGTCGATGAATGTAAAGTTGATCGACCCAACAACCGATCGACAGCATCTTTTACAACTTCCTAGTATCTCGACTAAACAATGCAGGCGAATAATTGCAGTAGCAAAGCAAAAGCATGTCACACGTATGGCGTGGGTTGGAAGAGGACCCAGTAGTGTAAAGTACAACAGAATGTAGTATCACAATTACAGTCCAAAACAAACGTAAACAGAAAACGTCCTCGCGGATTGCTCGTTTTATTTGCACCATCATCCTCACCGCAAATTCTGACTACTGCTGACTAAAAAAGAATTCGTTCAAAGCAACTCGCCGGTGCTTCCCAGTATTTTGGTTCATTTTCCATGTGCTCCACACACAAACATGAGGGAGAGAAAAAGGGACACATCGGCAGATCGAATCCTCCGCCGTTCGCACAGAACAACAATCCAGCCTTGCTTTGATCCCCTTAGGCAATTCACTTCTCTTATCGTTGTTAAAGTACACACACTTCAGCAGCTTCACACGATATTGGTTGCAAGTCCCATTTTGCGAGTCAGCTCGAAAAATATGAACAACAAAAACATCAAATGAATAAACCCTCAGGCCACTGTCCGAACCTCGGTGGATTCGACAGAGCTGAATTCCCGATGATTGCCCACGTCGCATTGCACGAGTGTGGTGGGTCAATCGGACGAGCAAGGCTGAGGTTAGGCGTAGAGTTTTAGGTAATCAAGGCCGTCCGCTGGATTAAGTGATTAACTTCCATAGATTAGGTTGGTTGGGGCGTGTTACGCATGTCACCAAACAGATTTCCACGGTGAGCAACGTTTGTCGAGGTAGGTAGCGGTTGGAAAAAGGTCAAGGGTGGTCAAACGAAAACCTGGCATGAG